GTCTGTCCCCCGACGCTGACCATCTGGAGAAACAAAGTCTGGGACCAGTTTATTATGTGTAAAATTTCTGATTCACTTCACAGACAACGATCTGGTATTACCACGACCTACTCAAAATTTGTGCGCACGTGGTTTCCGTGGCTGCAGTATATGACAGAGGCAGAACTTCTTCCCACTAACATAGCTTACTCTTCTTGGCTTTTCTTCTAGCTATTTTAGCTCTCTTTTTTATATACAATGAAACACACACAGAATACTTTTATATCTGAGACCTAGCTCCAATCTAGTCCTCATGTTCTCCCATTTGACAAAGGTTGTACAGTTACCAGCACTCCTTACCCTTATTTATTGGTTGATGAAGGTTCAAGAATGCTAGAATGGTTTCTACTGTTGAATGATTAGCTTATGACTCACCTTGATCCTCTTTTTGTTGCTTGTTATTGCTTGTTATTGCTTGTTCAATGCTTGTGATGTTTATTGTTGTAAACGATTGTTTAAAAACGAATAAAAATATATTTAAAAAAAAAAGAATGGCCAGTTTATACTTTTACCAGACTCAAGTGGTGATGTGTGTCCTGGACTGTGGTACTTCAGGTTGCAGGCAGGGCCTTGGGTGTGTTTGAACAATAAGGTAACATCTGCATTCATGCAGAGAATGGGCATGGCTGAATCTATAATCTGGGCCTAAAGGAGTTAAAAAAGATGGGGACATCTCTTAAATTGGATGGGAGCCTGCACAGGGCAGAGCTGAAGAAGAAGAAGAAGAAGAAGAAGAAGAAGAAGAAGAAGAAGAAGAAGAAGAAGAAGAAGAAGAAGAAGAAGAAGAAGAAGAAGAAGGTTTTGAGAGAGGCGGTGGGAGTCTCTCTCTGACCATCATTTCCCCCTCACAAGAAAAGGGATGGGAGGTGGAGGCAACTTCTTTTGCTTTGAGACTGAGCAGGGACACCTCTGAGTGGGCCTGAAAAGGCGGGAGTGTTGCGCAGGCCTCTCCAGGGCCTGGAAAGGCAGGGAAGGGAACCAACTTACCTTCCTTCTTCCTTCTCCGTGGCAGGACTGAGGGGACGGCTCCTGGGAGCAGGGGGTGGGGCTTGCTACATATCCCCACCCCCTAGCCTCCTCTCTGCCGGAGCGTTGCTCCGGTGAGCTCTGGGAGGAAATGAAGCCTGACCTTGGGCAAGCCATAGTTCTGGCACAGCTGTCCTTGAAAAAGAGCAGTTTCTGTCAGAGCTCTCTCAGCCCCACCCACCTCACAGGGTGTCTGTTGTGGGAAAGGGAAGGGAAAGGAGGTTGTAAGCCTCTCTGTGACTTCTTTGGGTAGTGAAGGGCGGGGTATAGGGTTGTCAAGTCCCCCCCCGGGGGGGCACGGACACACATCTGGTAATATATGGGGGTGCGGCCTAATAGGCTAATGAGCTGTGCTGTCAGGGGTGTGGCCTAATATGCTAATGGGTTTCTGCTGTTGGGTGTGGCCTATTATGCTAATGAGTTCCTGCTGGGCTTTTTCTACAAAAAGAGCCCTGTCAGGGGTCCCCAACCTTTCTGAGCCTGTGGGCACCTTTGGATATCTGACACCAGGCGGTGGAGGCAACCACAAAATGGCTGCTGCAGGAGGTAGGGCCAACCACAACATGTCAGGGTGTGACTTTATGCAAAACTCTTAATAATAACTCTTCAACATTTCAGGCAGAAGCCCTGCTTAACGGGATGTCTTTTAAAACGAACATAGTATCATAGAAATACAGAGTTAGAAGGGACCTCCAGGGTCATCTAGCCCAACCCTCTGCAAAATGCCCTGGGTAAGGCACATTTTATTCTAATGTCACTAGACATATTTTGCACAGTGTTAAAAGCAAAATGTGCACTGTGAAATAAGTGTTTGTGCTATTAGGCATGTGGGATTTCTTAAAAGTAAACTGATGGGGAAAAAAGATTAAAAGAAAAGAAGAGTAAAAAGAAGTTTGAAACCTTCCTCCAGCGTGAGGAGCCTTCCTCTGACAGAAGTCAGCTCTTCTACCAGAAGAATTCCTACTTCCATTAGAAGAAGGCAACCCTTCCTGCCCTCCAAGCACTGCTGTCAGATGGCCATCTAGCCTCCCTGTTGGAAAACCTCCCAGGGAGGAGAGCCCACCACCTCCCAAGGAAGCCTGTTCCACTGAGGAACCTCTCTGTCAGGAAGTTCTTATTTAAATATTCACATTTAAATAATGCAAGAGTGCTCAGAATGCAAGGCTTGAACTGCTCAGAATGTTTCCTTTTATCCACTCTGCTCCTGGGCCTCGTGCTTTCTATGCAAATCTCCACGGCAGGCTCCTTCTACTGAAATAGCACCATCTGCTGTCGCTCCAAGGCCTGGTTGTCTCCATTTCCTTCTTTATAAAAGAGGGAGGGAGGGGAGAGAGACAGAGAGAAGGGGAAGGATGGACCACATTGTAATTTTTCTCCTTCTGCTGAGCAGTGTGCCAGGTGAGGGTTTATGCAACGAGGAACACAACAAATGGGAATCCCGGCTCTGGTTCTCATTGTTGTCCCCTTTTTTTTCAGGTACCTTTTCCAGTCCCCGGCTGACCCAGTCTGGCCCAGTTATGGTGAAGCCGGGAGGGTCCTTCAAAGTGACCTGCACTGTCTCTGGGGTCCAAGTCAGTGATCATTACTGGGTTTGGAACCATCAGCCTCCAAAAAAAGGCCTGGAGTGGCTGGGAGGTATTCGTAGTACTGGAAATGGAGGAACCAGCTACTACAACCCAGCCTTCAGCAGTCGAATCAGCATCACCAGGGACACCTCCAGGAATGAGGTCTACCTCCAGCTCAGTTCCCTGACAGCTGCAGACACTGCAACGTATTACTGTGCAAGATACACAGAGAGGAAAAGCAATGGAGCATCCAGGCAAAAACCACACTCAGACTCCAACACTCACCACACACATGGCTCCAGCAACCACAACCCACAGAGAACCACTGTCTGGTTAAAGCATTGGGGATTGGGCACCAAAATGCCCATCACAATGATGGGCAAAGGAGATTATCCTGCCCTATAGGTTTCCACGCAAGCCCTTTAAAGCATGTATCTCTATATGCCCACACCTTTATTTCCCTTCCCCTCCACTTCTGTTTCTTCCTCATACAAAAGTGTTGAATAGCTAGCTTTGGTTTGGTCTGCATTATTTGCTCATAGTTCCCCAGTTGGAGCAGAAGATAAGAACATAAGCGAAGCCATGTTGGATCAGGCCAATGGCCCTTTCAGTCCAACACCCTATATCACACAGAAGCCAAACACCAGGTGCCACCAGGAGGTCCAACAGCACAGCCTCCTCCCCTCGGTTATGTTGCCTGCTGTCGCTTCAAGTGCCAGCATGGGAAATTTAAAATAAAACAGCAACATCCACCATGTCCCTACATCAGGTCCAGGGGGGAAAGGCCATGGTCCAATCTGCATTGGTCTTTCCATACCACATCATTTCACAAATTTCTGCAGCTCATCTTGCATCGTCTCATATTGTTTCGTCTCAGCATCGGCTGTCTACATCATTTTATTGCCCTCTAGTGGCAACTCCGAGGTCATTACAGCATCTCACCATGTTATCTGGATTTGGTTTTAAGATAGTCCAATTGCTCCTCCCCACCCTTGAGCAGCTGTGAGCAATAACCAGACAACTGGAGATGAATTCTCCTCCCCTCAATCATAAAAGCAGCCAGGGAACAGTTTTCTGCGATCCTATTTTTTTGTTGGTGGGTTAGAAGCATGCCCACCCCTGAATCATGGGGCAGTCCCCAGAACGCCCTGCCTGGCAACCGCTGGGTGTTTTACCCAACTTGTTCACTTTCCAGACCCCCCTGCCACCCATTTCCCCCTCTACCAGGTCACCCCCTTAACTTTATGCGGGGGATCATGGGTGCCATTTCCTCCCCATGGCACAGTGCCATGCTGGTGCCCCAGGAGGCCTACCCCATCTCTAGCGTGCTGTCCCTCCCATGCCCCCACAGTTGCCATGGTGAGGTCTGATGCAGATGGCTAGCTGGTATGCTAAGCCAAAATGGGAGGCAAAGGGGAACCATATACAACAGTACTACAGCAGACCAAGACTGCATTACACAGCAGATTCAGATTCAGCCCATAAGTGTCTTAGGGTAAATCTAGGAATTGTGAGTAACTATATTGTTTGACCGCAGAGTTTCTGGCAACTGCAAGATCTGCTTTATGTCACTTCCAGTTATTTTTCTGAAAGTGACATATAGACGCAGCCAATGTCGCACGCCCCCTTGCCCCCGTCCCCAATCCCTCCAACACTTGCTAGGCTTGGTCTGGGAACCCTGTTCAATGATGTTGCAGACTTGATATGTTATTTATTTAGATTTTTTTTCCCAGAAATGGCTTTGCAAGCGATGCATGCGAGTGAGATGTAAAACTTCACCAGAAGTTGCTGGGATGAAGAAATGTGGCAGGATCCAAATTTCTTAATCCTTAGACTTCTTCAGATTTACATAGTGCAAGAGGTCTCAGAATGCAAGACCAGAGAAGGCAATGAAGATCACTGAAGTGAACAGAAGCCAAGGATGACAGGGCACAGATTGTGTTTGCTAAGTGCTGGAGACCTTTCAAGATGCTTGGACTCCAAAGCAAGGACACCCTCCTGATGGATACATAGGAGGAAGCAGAGATTATTGGTTGCTCCCAGTCACCTGATTATCAAAGGGCTAGAACTTCCAGCCACACACTGGAAGTTCTTGCACTCCCCACACCCCAACAAGCTATCCTAATAGGGCAATAAATAAGGGGTGGTGCCTGACACCAAGGGTACTCAGTTCAAATCTTACACTAGCTCGATTGTTTTCTTTGCTTGCTTTCCCACTCTTTCTCTTTCCCTAGACATGAGCAACTGCAGTTTTGAAAAGCTGGGGCCTCAGAACAAAGTAATACAGTTACACAGACGATGGCTCAAATGCCTTTAGCCTTTAATAGGTAGCTGATGGAAGTTTTCTTCCCCAAATGATTCTTGTCCCTTTTATTAGATAGTCACCAAATCTACACACCAAGATTCCACATCAGTCAACATGCTTGAACTCTTGATCTGCCTAGCCTGGTAGGTGTGGTCCCTTTTATCCACTCTGCTCTGGGCCTTGCACCAGTTATGCAAACTTCTCCAGAAGGTTCCTCATCCTTAAATAGCCTCATCTGCTGTCGCTCCAGGGCCTGCCTGTATCCATTTCCTTCTCTATGAAAGGAAGAGGAAGGGGTGAGAGAGAGAGACAGGAGATGGACAACATCGTGGTTGTTCTCATTCTGTTCAGCATCGCACAAGGTGAGGATTTCTGCACTTACAAAAGATAAATGAGGAACACAAGAAGGAGAAATCCTGGGACTGGTTCTCATTGCTCTCCCTTTTCCCCCCAGGATCCTTTTCCAGTCTGCAGGTGACCCAGTCTGGCCCAGCGATGATGAAGCCGGGAGGGTCCTTCAAAGTGACCTGCATCGTCTCCGGGGGCCAAGTCAATGATTATTACTGGAATTGGAACCGGCAGCTTCCCGGGAAAGTCCTGGAATGGCTGGGATTCATTCGGAGCACTGATCGAGGAGGAACCACGCAGTACAGCCCAACATTCAGCAGCCGAATCAGCATCACAAGGGACAACTCCAGGAACGAGGTCTATCTTCAGCTGACCTCCCTGACGGCTGCAGACACTGCAGTGTATTATTGTGCAGGAGGCACAGAGAGGTGAAGCAATGGGGCATCCAAGCAAAAACCACATTCTGACTCCAACCATTCAGGCAGATGTTACTGGGCTATGCAGGGGTCATTTCATAGAAAAAGAGGTGCAGGAGCTCATTAGCATAACTCATTAGCATATGCCACACCCCCTTGCATCACCGGAAGTGTGTCAGAAGGCAACACCCACTGCAACTTACCTGGCAGCTTCTTGCTCCTCGTGGCCCGGGGCTGCTGGGAGCAGGCTTGCCCACTGATTTTCTCTGCAGAGCCTTTCTTGGTGGTCTCCCATCCAAGTACTGACCCTGTTTGGTATAGTGGCTAAGAGCGGCAGACTCTAATCTGGAGAACTGGGTTTGATTCCCCGTGCCTCCACATGCAGCTGCTGGTGTGGCCTTGGGTCAGTTGGGTCAGTCTTCTTGCATGTGCCCACCCCCTGAGCTCTTTACTGCCGGAGCTCCGCTCCTGTGCACTCCTGCAGGAAATGACCCCTGGGGCTATGTCCTCTGTTATGTCCTCAGATCACTGCCAGGCGCCAGCCAGAGGCAGCTAGAGCGTCAATCCAGAAGACAATAGGGACTAGGCTCCTGAACTTCTAGTAAGGAGCCAATAGGAACCTTGGCGGGAAGTTCAAACCCACCAATAGAACTTAGGGGCATCCCTCCCCGATTGTATAAAGTTGGCCACTCGGCCGTTAGTGGTTGTTCCATGTGTAAAGTACTAATAAATGCGCCTTCGCCTATGTCATGGTCCGAGTCCTGATGTATCGAACCCAATACTTTTTTACTCCAACAGCCACAGCCCATGGTTGAGAGCTGATACTGAGGAGAAAATAAAATCTACTATGTTTAGGTGCTCAAGTAAAAAGGATTTTGAAAGTTAACATTGCTAAAGATATGCAAGAATAAATTAAAGGGTCTTGAGTGGCAACATACAAGAAATATGTGCCTAAATTAGAACTGTCAAACTGCTAAGAAACACCTGTTTCTTCCCTTCTCTATTTCTATAGATATAAAACTGATTTATAATAGTATATTATAGACAATATGAAATACAGCAGATAGGATATAGAAAAATTAGTTGTTTACTGAGAACAGATCTTTGGTTTAATGAGGTTTGTTGTGGAATACAAATTAAAACAAGGGGGGAAATGGTAATATGTGTGTAAACATGATGTTGTGAGAGAGACACTCAGCTAGATATGTTAAAATGTATTGCTCTTTCTTTTCTATGTAACCTTTACAAATAATAAACCTTGCCCAATTTTGGGCAAGGGGGGGGGAAACTCATTTCTATAAATATCCCCAGGATTTATTCTGCATTATTCTCTGGTTAGAACCCAAAGATGCAGTGCAAAGTTGATTGCTTTATTCATTTAGAAAGGGTTTTTTAAAAATGATTTTCCCAGTGAGAGGTGCAAGTGAGATGTCGGACTGCATCAGTAGCCAATGCTCCCTGTAAGCTGTGAACTCTTGTGAGCAACAATTCTACTTTGTGAGCTCCTGGCATGAAAGTTGTGAGCGAGCAATTCGGCTGCTGCATCACTTAGTTTGCTCTGGAGCCCTCCCTCCTGAGCGAAGACAAAAATGTGTGAGCCGGAGGCTAAAAAACTGTGAGCTAGCTCACACTAACTCAGCTTAGAGGGAACACTGCCAGTAGCTCTTCAGGTGAAGAAACAAAAAGTTTAGATGCCTCTGAGCATCTAAATAGCAGCCATTCATCAGAGTCCCCAAAAGTACTTACATTCCTCTTTTAACTCTTCATCTTATATGTCAAGGTTGCAGTGGCCTCAGTTTGTTTGGAAAGTCCAAGATGCAACGGAATTGTGTGCTATTGGAAGAGGCTGCAGGGAGGGAGGGAAACATGGTATAACCTGATCTTGTCAGACCTTGGAAGCTAAGCAAGGTCGGGACTTGGAAGGGAGACCGCCAAGGAAGACTCTGCAGAGGAAGGCAAGGGCAAACCACCTCTGCTTCTCACTTCCCTCGAAAGCCCCTTGGCTGGAGTTGCCGTAAATTGGCTCCATCTTGACAGCACTTCACACACAGAGGAAAGGCTGCTTGTTTCATCTCTGCATGAGTCCCAGGGCACAAGAGGCTGGGAAGTCCCCAGTTAGAGCCACAAGTCTATCAAGGCCCCTCGTTGAACTCTCCAAAGTAACCCCTTCCAGAGATTAACCCAATCTGCTGCAGAGAAAATCAGCAACAAGCTATATCAGTTGGGCTTCAAATGAGCCAATGGTCTCTTCTGATGTTATCTATCTTCTTCTGCTCCACTCTCCTGATTTTGTCGTGGTTCCTTTCGATATCATCCATGCCCCTCTAAGCTCTGCTGTATGATATGTGTAGTATGTCAGCACACTCCTGTCTCACACTACCCCTGCAAC